ACAGACTCACGACCAACGACACGCCAGGTCCACAGGAGAGCTCGGTCCACTGTTCCGGAGAGCTTCGCTTCGCTCAGCAATTATGCACTATTCGTACACAATTTTGAATAAAATTTGTACATACCTATGGCTGTAAAAAATTCTGCATGTTCACAGTGAAAAATACTTGTAAGTTTACAGGAAAATTTTCCATTATGTGATTCCGTAAAATTACAACTTAATGTTGTAAAATTACAATCACTTCCTATCGACTTGGAGTTAGTCGAGGAGCAAAAATGGTCCGCCGTAAATTTGGGACATTATTTTGTAATTCCAAATTACAAGACATGTCGTGACTTAACGAGGAAATTTTTCAGTGTTTATGCACAATAAAATGCATAAGGATTATTTAGTGTGCAGGCAAACCGGAAGAACTATGATTTGTTTCGTGATATACTGGTAGGGGTGAGGGTGAGGGGGCTATAAAATCCCAGTGACGGTGCAGCAAGCTCGCGTCCGCATGGGCGCTGGCGGTCCGGGAGAGTCTTATCCGCCCCAATCAAGTCGACATGCATCTCCTCGACTACCCCGGGCGGCGGGTCCCTCCCCGGGTACGAGTAACGGCCCATTAGAGGGCGGTCCATTACTCGACACAATCCCGCCCGAGGAGCCATCTCAGAGGTACGGCACCAGCCGCTTAGGGGCTGGCATCACTTGCAGGGATAAAAAAAAGACACGTTTAAAAAATATTTGTTAGATCTGTTTGTATTGAAACAGGTCTTGCTGCGCGATTTCACAGATTTTACAGATGCCTTGTTGTTGTTTTTTTGGAGAATGAGTTATGGGACTTTGTGGGCACGAAGGGGGTGGGGGGGAGGCAGGATGAAATATACTTGAATGTGATTTAAAGAGCGATAGAGTATGTTGGGTGTGCGACTGTAAGCTAAAGCCACACGCTGCTGATAGAGAGGGTGGGGGGAGCTAGGGGGGGTCGGAGAGCGAGTGAGAGGATAGGCAAGGCAGCACGAGAAAGTGTGTGTGTGTGTGTGTGTGAGAGAGAGAGAGAGAGAGAGAGAGAGAGAGAGAGAGAGGGGGAATAGAAATAATGCCGTCATCTCCAGGAAACGCTTCCGTTCTGAGGGAGATGGGAGAGCGTAGGAGGAGGACGAGGGATAAAAGTGGGAAGAGGGGTGGGGGGGAAGAAACCCGGGGGCGTGGAGCGGCCGTGCAGAGGGAGGCCCCTGGAATGCTGCATGTGGGCAATTCATTGCGGCGGATTTATAGCCGGGTTTGTCGTAACGCCGGGAGACGAGTTTATTTTACAGAAGGGTGAGGCCTCCCTGGCGTGAGATTATTCAGCCGAGGCGCTGCTATAGGCCTCGAACGTGTGGAGGGGTCGGGGGAAGAGGGGTCGATATCACACGCTGCGCGTCTGTCTGTGGTATTTGGACCCGCGTGGCACATGCGTCAAAATGCGCGTCCTTGACCTGTTTGAACTTAAGTGCCTCTTTTCCTCCCTCTCTTTTTATTTTTTCAAACAGGCTGAACGGGCAAGTCTTAAGGACAGTGTGTGCTGAATGACACGATATAACCTGGTTACCTTGAACCCTCAGAAAATCTTTTTCTTAGGACAAGACAAAATTACCTTTCGCTAAAGAAACTAACCTTGAAAAGGGGAGATTTCGAGATTTGCCTAAAATAAATGTTTTTCTTTGCATAAGGAAAAAATTGCCTAAATTCAAGAGAAATTCTGTATTTTAAAGGCATAGAATTTCCTTGAAACTAGGGAAAAAAGGAAAAGGAAACACTTTTCTGGGTGTGGGACCTCCTGCTCCGCATATATTATTCACGTGTCACGTGTTGGAAAGACTCTTGTCGCGATGAAGTCTCGCACACCGCGAAAAACAAGGCGCGCTATACAGAGTACGGCACGGTACGGAGCCCGGCATTCCAATGCATTTGGCGCGTGCAGTCGGGAGCCCCTCTTTACATTCCGATCGCTTTCCTTCCATCCATGAGACCCCCCCTCCCCTTCCATACTCCTTACAAACCCACACGCCGAAGTAAATAGCCTGTCAGCCAAGCTTACCGGGTCGCCTCAGCAGGGGAGAGGGAGGGGGGGGGGGTAGGCTGGGCACAACCCTTCCGGGAGGGAAGAAAGTAAGTCATTACTTTCCTGTAAGCCGGTCTCAACTTCCCCCTCTCCAGGCGTTTACGAAACGCCACAGGGCGCGCCGCGCAAGCCTAGGCCGAGCAAGGGTTATTTGCAGGTGAACAAACGACGCGAAAGAGAAATATATTTTTTGATATCCGGTCACAGCCACGCGCCGCGCCGCGCGCGGGACCCCCAAAAGGAGGGCGAGTGTCCCTTTGAGTCGCGCGGGGCGGGGCCGGCGGGGCGGGTTAGTCGCGCTGTGAGATTTAATGGAATTCCGCGACGGCCAATAACCCGCTCGCTGTGAAATACACCGCGGTTTACAAGCCCATAGCTCCGCGAGCGGCCACCTCTCCACGGGGCCCCTCCGTCGCGGCCCCCCTCGCGCACTGTTAAAAGCTTACACTGATTTTCACCGTAAGCTACAGTGAGAGCCTGCAGCACTGTAGCTTACGGTGGATTCACCGTAGCTTACGGTGAGATTCAATGTAGCTTACAATGAAATTCACGGTAGCTTACAGTGAAAATCACCGTAAGCTACTGTGCTGCAGGCTTTCAATGTAGCTTACGGTTAAAATCACTGTAAGCTTTTAACAGTGCGCGCTCTTGGAATCAACGGCCCCCAGACGGCCAGCACGGCGTGGGACTTTCAAAAGCAAACTTATTTTTGGAAAGCGCGGGAACACGAAGTATTCTTCTGCTGCTGCTGCCGTTGCGGCCCGGTAAGAGGGAACGGACCTCTCAAGGCAAGGAAGGGAAGCAAGGCAAACGCATTTCAAACTTTCCTCTCAGGCCGGCCGAACAGCGTGAACAGCGGTGCAAACAGCAGCAGCGGTGCGGCGCGCAGCTCTCCTGCGATAGGGCCGCCTGCCTACCACCGCCGCGGTCGCGCCGCCCGGGCTTCCGCGCCCTCCGACAACTTCCCTTCGCCAGTCAAGAGTAGTTGCTTGCCTGGCTTGCTTTCTCGGTGGTTGCTCTCGGGTTTTCCCTATTTTGGCTCTCACTGTTGTTGTTCCCTATGAAAACTGCGGTTATTCTGAGAACCCGTCGTCGTCGTCGCGAAGCACCCAAGACAAACATTACGCGACGGTGCGGAGCGCGACTTGCTCACAGAGTTATATCGTCCAGCGTGTGCTCGTGTGAGGCGGACAATAGTGTGTGGCGTTTTTGTTGGTATTACGAGACACACGGCGTGGTATTGCGGGTGCGCGAGTGCAGTGGTGTGGATGCGAGGAAGTGGAATTAACGGGCGCGCAGCAGACGACGCAAACGAGGCGATAAACAATATTTGTTCCGCGATTTACCGCGGGAAGATATGAGACGCACACGGTCGAACAAGGAAAAGAACATAAGTAACAAACAAGCCGCGTACAACACAGCAACGGCTTTATATATTTGCAGTTCAAGATGTTCAACAACATTCATTACTAATAAATTATATTAATAAATAAGGTTCCACTCGTCTGCATGTCTCATGTAAGGGCATCACATAAACATTTTAAAACATGCCCAAAGTCCACGTCAAAGTCACTCTATGTCATTGGCATCACAATATTTTTAAAATAAAAATTCAGGTCTGGAATAGTGCATTAGTCAGGTCAAGTTTTAGTTTCCATTCCTGAAGTGATTGTCCCAATGATGGGTCTGGGCGTTGGAGCTGCGTCGTCGCTGAGTCTCCCTCGAGCCAGGATTTTCCTCGCAACGCCAGAATAGGGGCGACGCTTTCGGAACCATCGACCCCTTGGCGACTGCGGAAGACACGCGGCGTCGCATGTCCGGCGTGGGCACCTCCACCTTCCGTGTGGAGCGAGTGGGAAGACTCGTCCCTTGGGGACGCCGCGCCGCCGTGCTAGGCCAGTGGTCGTCGTCCTGCCTCGTCCGGCGGGTCAGCTGCTGACCGCGCCGCCGCCAGCACTGCGGTCAAGTGGTCCACGTCGGGCGGGGCAGTTTAGAGGCTGAGGCGAGAGCCCCCTGGAGGCGGGCCGGAGCCCAAATGGAAGTAGTCGCCCCACGACGCGACGGAGAGGATGAGGCCGGGGCCGGGAAGAGAAGGAGAGAGATGCGGTCAGGCAGCGGATGCTGCGGGGCCGGAGCCGGAGCCGGAACCCCCGGGGGAGCCTGTGGGCGGCAGGCCCCGCGGCTGGGTGTTGCGCTGCTTGGGCTGCTGCTGGCCCCAAGTCCCCAGGGTGAGACTCAGCACGCTGTCCGAACCGCCGCCGCCTCCGCCCTGGTGAGCCTGGTGGTGAGCCTGGTGGTGCGCCTGGTGGTGAGGCTGCTGGTGAGCCGGCTGCTGGCCCAGATGGCTGTCCGGGCCGCGCATCCCGATCACGCCGCCCACCCAGGCCGCCGGGTTGGACTCTGTGGGGACCACACGACGGCGACCAGTAAGTGTGTGCGTCGGGCGGCCAACAAGTGCGACAGAAAGAGAGCCGGCGAGAGACTCCTATCTCTGTCGTACTTATGTCAAGGGCAGGCCACCGGCAAACTCCACGGAAAAAGGGGATGACTAGACAGAAAACGGGGTAATAAAAAAAGAGACCCTTTCTTATGAAAGGTCGACTCTTCCCCTCGACTACTCTTCTGCTTACCAGCGCACTGCGTCTTTATAGAAACGAAAACAAAATTTATGGACCTTTCCAATAAGTGGGTCCCGAACCGATGGCGTTTATCACAAGGGCTTACCTGCGGGCCTGCGCGCGGGGCTTTTCTCAAAAGTAAGACACATCGGGGGTGGCGCTCAGTTTGGCCACCACACCCGTTCGATTGCCACCGCCTCAGGCCACGCTGGTGAAACAAAGGTGCGTGATAATTTAATGCTCCTGTCCTCTCCTGACCCTGGGCCGGGCCGCGGCGGCGGCGCCCCGCGCTTCGTCCTCACCGTCCGCGCTGGAGTCCGCGGGTCCGAGCCGGGTGGCGCCGCTGCGCGCGAAGTCCGTCACGTCCACCGTCGTGGACGGACCCGCCTGGAAGGCCTGCATGTGCTCCGGCGGCGTCTAGAGGTGCAGTTATACATTAAAAATACTTTCAAGAAAGAAAAAAAAATAGGAAAAAACAGCAAAGATCAAGAAAAAAAATCAGCAAAAAATCCAGAAAACATCAGGAAAAATCAGAAAAACAATAAATCAAAAATTAATCAGAAAAATTTGTGTGTACCGCTATATTCGGGGCCCCTTTGGTTTAAAACCCACCTGCACGAGGCTGCGCACGTAGCCCGGGTAGGTGGGCACGCCCACGCCGGGGTCGTGGTGCAGCACGGCCGAGTGCGTGTGGCCGTGCGTGATGACGGGCCGGGCGATGATCTCGTAGTTGTCGTTGCCGTCGTTGTTGCCGCAGCCGTTGTTGTCCGAGCGGCGGCAGCGGCGCGGCGGCGCGCGCAGCGCAGACATGAGCGACATGCCGAGCGCCAGCATGGCCGACATGAGCGCCTTGCCCGCCATGGCGGCGAGCGCGCCCAGCCCCACGGTGAGCAGCGTGCCGCCCATGATGAGCCCGGCGCCCAGCATGGGCCACGCGTCGCCCTTCTTCCGGCGCCCTGCAAAGCGGACACAGTTATTGTTTCGAGCGGCATTGTGACGGAATCAATTTCAGACCGTTCCATACGCGCGCGCAACTTCATAAAATAAAGTTTCGTGCTGTGTCCGCAAGGCCAGCGAACTTTGACAAACTCGACACCAAAAAAAAATGTGGGTGGGCGATTAGGAAAAAAAAAACGAAAAATAAGTGGTTTAAAACAGAAGCCCTCGATCTCAACAACAAAAAAGAGGCCGAAACAAAAGGTCCGTCGTTACGTCGAATTAGCCAGTTGTGTGTGTTCCGGCCACCCATTTAGACCATCCATCACAATTCGATAACGTGCAGGCAACGGGGCCGGATGGTGTGACCCCGTGCTCCCCCCACGCTCCGTCTGTCTCTGGATGACGTCACACACACCCTCCATCTCGCTCGCACCTGCAGGCGGCCCGGTGCCCTCGGCCAGGTCCCGTAGCTCGTCGCCGAGGCTTCTGATGAGACGGTGGGCCGCCCTGCTGACAAGGCTGGCCAGGTCGCGGCTCCGGGCCCGGCCCGACTCGCCGCCGACCTCGGCGCCGGCCCCGGCCTCCCGCAGCCCGGCCGCTACCAGCGCCTGCGACAGCAAAGTTATTATAGACTTCAAAGGTTCAACATGGACAAAGAGTAATCGCTATTTGATACAAAAATACATT